GAGTCGGCCACCTACGTGACCGCGCTGCCTACCGTGGCGCTCGAGGGCCCTCGCAGCCGCCGGAAATCCCTACAGAAACGACGAACCTCCGTGTTTGGTTCCCTTCGGTCGCTACATTCCCAAGAAGATGACGACCGGTCGCTGGGCCGCTCCAAAGGCTCGTCCCTGGACGAGGACCCTCCCGAGCTGCGACAAGGCATTGGCTCCATCATCCTGCACCATGGAGAGATCTCCATCACCGGGGGCATGTGGCGCAAGAAGAGCCATTACCTGGTCCTGACCGACACGCATCTCGTCCGGTTCAAGAACCAGAGCAAAGCCGCCGATATGTTTCCCTCGATCCCGGCTTCCTTCACCTCCCGCTCAGTGGCGGCCAACCGCCAGTCCGTCGCCTCCATCAGTTCCCTGCAGGACCCTCAGCTGGCCGCGGCGAGCGAGTCCATTTCCGGCATTGCCTTGAACAGCATCATTGCGGTCTACATGTTGGACGATGGCCGACCGTCGTCAACGGTGGAGGTGGCCTATGTGGATGAACGGGCTCAAAAAGCAACCTTCATCCAGATGCAGACCCCCGACTTCCAGGAACTGAATCTGTGGATGGTGGGCATACGCTCCGCGGCGGAATTGATCCGCGGAGCCGACCCGCTGGTCTTCGATCAGAAGACGGCGGATTGCGTGGTCCGCATGCTCGAGTATGAGCGGGACTATGATCCAGAGACCTTTCGAATGTTCCGGGTCATCCAGATGGCGTCCAGCAAGTCTCCTGCACGGGCATCATCTGAAGATCTCACCAAGCTGTCACCGACGGGCTGTTATCTCGCCCTTGGGTCGCACAAGCTCCACTTGATCCCGTTGCACAAGATCTCCAGCCGCAGCTCCGTGGTATCCTTGAGTGACCTGGATGCGGCAACCTCTTTCGGACTGATGAACCTGACCTGTCTCTCCATGGAATGGGGCGACGATAGCCTGCATCTCACGTTCCGTGTGCCAACGCGGAAACCGTTCTCGGTCTTCCTCGCGTCCGTGCATTCCGTGGAGATTGCCTTTTGGATTCGACAACAGACCGAGTTCCTACGTCCCTTGTGGATCAAACAACCGTATGACTTCATCGTCCCTCGGGACCTGGACAATGAGAGCAACTTCCCTCCGGTGAGCTTGGACGAGGATTACGGTTGCTTCGACCGGACATTGGTCGCCTACTCGGCTAGCTACGACATCGACACTTCCAACATCCGATATACCATTGATGTGCAATGCGATGACGCCCCGTGTTTCAGGCTCCTGCCGCCCGCCTCCGCTCGGCAGAAGAAGTATACCGCTCTAGAGCTGATCGCCGTCCTGCGAGCACTGCGATACAACGAGTCCTTCCGGTCTATATCGTTTAGTGGTGTCAGCCTGGATGTTCTGCAAGGCCTACGCGATATCTATGGCCCGGATAAAGACGCCCTGCTGAGTCGTGCCGGGGCGCCGATCCATATCCCCGGTCAGGAGAACCTATCGGTGTTGTCCCAGGAAGTGCGTGCGTTGACTCTGAAGAGCAAGTGGCTCCGACGTCTGGACTTCTCCTATACTCTGAGCCGCATTCCGAAGTCGGATAGTGAAAGTCACGATCCAGGATGTGGAATCCCTGAAGCCATTTTCCCCATTTGCCGACGAGAGCTGACGAGTGTTGACTGGGTGGTGTTGAACGGTATCAAGCTGGGCGATTCGGATCTCGACTACCTTGTGGATGCCTCGTCTCAACGGTCCAGTCACATGCGAGCATTGGAAGTGGGCAACTGTGGCTTGTCAGTTCACGATCTTGACCTTCTCCTGTCCACGGTCGTCGCCCAGTCCTCGACTCTGGAGGCGATGAACATCTCGGGTGTTCAAGGTCGCCTCAGCCCCGACATACTCCAGCAGTACCTCGGCTATTTCAGTCAGATCAAGACGCTCGACTTGTCTCGTATCTCTCGCACATCGGGCACAGAGCCTCTCCTCACTTCCGAGACGTTGTTCAACTGGCGCCTGGAGGAACTCTCGCTGAGCCGGACCCTCGTGAACCGCGAGACCGTCGATGCCATAGCCACATACCTGGCCAGTGATCGATCTCGGGGCCTGCGCGTGCTTCGCCTGGACCAGTGTGGACTCAGCGGTCAAGACGTCGCCATCTTCCTGCATTCCATGACAGCCAATGGGTTTCCTCGCGATTTGCATCTTCATGTCAATGAGAACCGACTTGACCAAGGCTGCTCGTACCTCTTCAAAGCCATTGCACAAAACAAGACGCCAACTCATATGTCAATGAGGATGATTGACTTCAAGAAGGAGGAACAATTCCAGCAGCTGGTGGAGGCCTTGCGAAAGAACCGGACCCTAAAATGTCTAGACATCTCCAAGGCTTCTCTTCCGTATGATGCTGGCCCTGAGACGTGCAAGGCGCTCCAGCTAATGTTCGAGGAGAACGAGACGCTTGAAGATTTGGATATCAGTGGCGAAAGCGCTCATTTGGATGTCGCTCGGTTTGGAATTGGTCTGAATCTGGCCCTGACAGGTCTGAAAAAGAACAAGTCCTTGCGAATCCTGAGGATCGAGCATCAGAAACTGGGTTTGCAGGGTGCAAACACCCTGGCCTCGGTGCTGGAAGACAATGAATGTCTACGTGAAGTATACTGTGAGAACAATGACATCAACTTACAGTCGTTCACGGTCCTGGTGAATGGACTGCAGCGGAACAGATCCCTATTGAGTCTGTCATTTATGGATCGTGACCGCGTCCAGTCGCTCGAGCGGGTCCGGCGTGAGATCCGGAACGTGAAGCGGGATGCAAGCCTGGCGCAGAGCTCGGCAACCAGCTCTATTCGCCGTTCGTTACATGCCGCCATGAATGGAAAGACGAGCAGCAAGTCATCAAAACAGCAGCATACGTCTGGTCACCGCTCCGGTGCCTCAGTAGCCTCGAGCCTTAGTGCTACTGCCGAGACCTCACCCCTCTTGCAGCAAGACGTGGAGGTTATTCTTCAGTCGTTGAGCCGGAAATGGGATGGTGAGGTTGCTCGTCTTCGTCGATATCTGTATCGAAACTACAACTTGGCTCACGGTATCGAAGATGATATGGCCGGGTTGGACGATGACACTTCGAGCGACGGACGCCCCACGACAGCCGGCAGCCTTGGGTTGATGCTGGACCATTTGAAACTAGACGTGTCAGTGTCAGAAGCTGAAATTCAGCCACCACCGGAGCTTCCCGTGCAGTTGCCGCCGGAGATCGAGCCCACGAGCCCGAAAGACCATTTGGATATGTTCAAGGGACTTGATGCTGAGAGTAGTCTGGTTGCTGAGCTCCGGCAACGCCCGCAGACGGCTCCTTTCTCAGTCCCAGGCTATGCTCCTCACATGCTACCACCAGAGTATGCTGGCTCCAGCACATCGTCTTCCCGTCTGGCAGTGCCTGTGCCTCCTATACCATCTACGGTCAGCAAGTCCAGCAGCGTCCGCAGTGCCCGCAGTTCCAGTACGGTCTCCACCAGTACTCGGGCTAGTGCGCGGAGTACGTACGGAACAGCCTCATCGACGCTGCGCGGCTTTCTCAGTGGCAGCGCCTCGAAAGAACGCAAGAAGCTGGAGAAGATGAGATCTGGCGCTGTGTGTGTTTCATCAGACCGACCTCCGAAGCTGGAGTGGGCGCCTCCTCCCCTTGACCTGGGGAAGTTCGAGTGATGCCCCGCTAAGGAGCCGTTCGTTCTTCGCTCAAACATGATTAATGAATCAAATCACGATACCTTGCAAGCCCATTTTCGCTAGTCGAAAATATGCCTCGTGTTTTAGGCCGTCACCGTTCGGCTCTCCATCTACATCCATCCCTTTCCTCTTTTCCTTTCCCTCCATCTCCTTACCGAAGCACCGATTCCCCACGCAGTGGACGACGCCGGTATCCATTCCTCTCCTGCCTCTCAGAAAGGGCATCGATCCTTGACCATCCGTTGTTTCCTTTACCTCTTCTCTTTCCTCTTCTCTTTCAATCTCGGTTCTGTGTCCTCTCTCGCCAGCTGGTACTCAGAATTCTGGCGTGTCCACCGGACACATACCACCTCTTTCGTGTCCCTCTCTCATCTCCGATTTTCCTTCTATCATGTGTTAGCCTCAAGGGGCAGTTGCCCCAGGAAAAGCAAGAGCACTTGGTTTCGCATCTTGCTGTTTGGCGCAAGGGCTAGGTGGCGTTCCTTTAAATTTCCTTTTCGAGAACCCTGGGTTTTGATGGTGCTTTGCGGATCTATCGCCTTTGTTTTTTTCTTTTCGTTGAAGCCCATTGATGCCCTAATTGTTAATGTCATAGAGAATATTCTCCGTCATGGAGAGGATTGACCCGCAGGGGGACAAAGACCATGTGACCCATGAATGAGTGGCCTGTAATTGATTATTTCTTTTCTTTGGTCGGGTCAGCACAGTCGGTGTATTGTTGATATGATGTGTAGAGAGCAACCATCTGTGAATACATGTGTATACTACTTACTACAATGGGATGATATCTCGGTTGATTTTATACTTGATGTCCTTTCTGTTTATCGTATCGTATGCCTATTCTTACTACATCTATGAATTACTATATACTAAATGCCACTATCAAGTAGCTACCAAACAATATCAACGGTATCTACGATGATGAATCGAAGAAGAACAGACAGCTTCAGAAGAAACAACACCCAGCAGGCTACAACAACAATGCTTGCAGCCGAGGTGTGAAAGGAGAATATTTGAGATCATTATAGTATACATACATATAAGGTGTAAGGGAGCATGAGGTATCTATAGAGAGTATTGATGAGGTGAAGAGTAGGTATCGAAAAGAGAGGCGGAGCAGCAGATTAGATCGATTGACTGATTGATTAGATAGATAAAAATGCCTTCTCGCGCCGCGAGTTGACCAATCTATCAGTGAATAAATCAATCAATCATCTTCAATGCACCGTTCCGCCTAGCCGAAACAGCAGGAGACAGAGGAAAGAGGTAGTAAACAAAGCTTAATCGCGTAAAACGACCAGCTTCTCCTGCTCATCCAGTTTATTCTGCTCCTTGCGGTACTTGCGACCTTTCTTGGCGTATTCGCGGAGACGGCGAATATACGTATTGGCCGCAACGTCAGTTTCGTCCTCGCCGCGGCCGGAGAGAGCCTTCCGGCGACGTTCCTGGCACGCGTTGTAGAGTTTCCAGCACTTGTTACTGTCGAGGTGGTTCAATTCGTAGTCCACGGACCACTTGTTAGGGGATTGGAACTGGATCGGGCGGTCCACGTATTCGCCATCCACGATGTTGCGGACGGTGAGGGCAAAGCCCATGATTTCTTTGCTTGGGGTCGTCTCGGCTTCGTCTTGGGAGGTCTCGGACTTGGTCGTGGCGGAGTCTTCGGCCAGGTCGTCTGCGGAGATGGAGGACTCGAAGTCGGCGGGGATGTCTTCAGTATCGTTGGTGGTTGTTGTTGTGTCGTCGTCTTCGTCGGCGCGACCGGGGAGGTCGAGTACGCGGCGCTGATAGGCGTCGATTTCGGCTTGGTTCTTTGTCTGAATTGCGTGGATTTCCTCGTCGGTGACGGGCTCGGCGAAGATGTACATGTACGGTGGTCCGGCCGTGGAGTCACGGGTCTCGAAGTGGAAGCGGAGAGACTGTTTGGGGAATCGGGCCGTGACCTTGTTAAGAACCTTGTTCCAGAGCTGCAGACTCAGGAGGAACTCCCGGTCTCCCAGAGTGGTGTCGTATTGGCCGTGCAATGCCATGTCTAGTTCGGGCAAGCTGAGGTACTGGAATCCGAAGATGCGCTCGATGTTGTGGAAGGCTACGAAGATGCCGTCCATGCGGCCGATGCGCACCTGGAGGGAGTACTTGAGGAGCGCGGCCCGGATCATGTCGTAGTACTCGCGCTCATATGACTCGTATGTGCCGTGGGCTTTCCGGATCTCGTAGCCCAGGCCGTGCTCGAAGTTCTTGGCGTCCATGCGGATGGATGCCACCGCCCGGGTCTTCAGATCGAACATGCCGGTGCCGGGGAGCCGCGGGTCGTAGGCATCCAACTGTGAACGCATCAGGAAATCGCCGTATGTCGAGTAGTGGTAGGCTTCGGGCACTGCCTGCTCCTCTTCGGCGGAGATCTTGTTGGAGCTGGATCGTCGATAGCGCTCGAATTCCTCCTTTGGCATAGTCAAGAGCTTCTCCATCGATTTACCCAGGTTCATGAGAATGTTGGCCGTGTCATGCTCCTTATCGGCATCGATGGCATAGACGCCGTTCTGGTAGCGCAGGAACATGGCCGAGGGAGCTCGCAAGAGCCGCGTGAAGGTCCGCAGCCTTTCCTGAAAGCCCCGGGATACTTGTTGGATGTTGACCTCTCTCCAGTAGGACAGAAGGTAGTGGAAGTGCGACAACACGGATGTCATACTGGAAGAGGAGCCAATGTACTTCTTCTTCTCCTTCTGCGCCAGGCCCCGTAGCTGCTCGTCCTTGGAGGAGGTGATGTATTCCTTCAACGCTTCGAAGTCGAATTCGGTGACAGGCATAATGGAGCCAAGGTATGGATCGAAATTGTAGACGCGCGATCGGGGATCCCGAAGATGGTAGACTCCCGGGCTGTATGTGACAGTGGCTGTCAGCTCCGCTTTGTTTTCGATCGTTTCTTGGGTGAGAGGAAGCAACTTACTTGAACAGCACTCTGTCCAGGCCATAGGCCAGTTGCGGGACTTCGGGGGTCTCGACATCCAGGGCTTTGCGCTAGTTAGTGATCCAGTAGGAGACTTCACAAGTCGCTTGAGGAAGACGCACCTTTCACAGAGTCTCGGTCTGCATTGATCTTTCCGGTGTCCTTTCCGGTGATCGGAACAGGAAGCTGTAATTTGGTAGACTGTTTGTTGGCCTAGCATGGAGAGTTAGACTCTGGCTAGTCCAAGTGGGAAGGTGAAGCTGACTGACCAATACCTGCGGTTTGGGAGATGTTGAGGAGTCAGGAGCAGTCTTCTGCTGCGCGCGAGCTTTTTGGTCCTTCTTGTCCTTCGGCTCCGGTTGCTTGTTCTCCTCCTTCGGAGTCTCGTTTGCAGGGTCCGTCTTGCGCATTTTCATCGCTTCTTGCTTGGCGGCCTTTCGGACCGCTTTCTTATCCGCATTTTGGGGTGACTTGGAGTTTTGCGTCCGAAGGGACTTTTTGACATGGGTGGGTGTCCTTCTATCCGGGAGGTTCTGTCCGCAGCAGCAGGCGGTTAGCATTCACATGTTTTCAAGCTTCCGCTTATTGGCTCTTCATGGGAGCATCTCAATGTCGCATACGTACCTTCTCTAGTGCCTTCAGCTGCTCTTCAATGGCGACAGTGGAAGAAGTCTCGGTGGCCTGGGAGCGCAACCTGGGCGCGGTGTGGAAGCGGCGAGCCCAGGGCTGGGCTTCGAGGCCGCGAGCTAAGCATGAGAGACAAACATGCTCGCGCAAAGGGTCTGAGACAGACCGCAGGGTGGCCCGATACATTCGGGCCAAATCAACGAGCGACAATGGAAGAAGAATGCAGAAGCAGCCAAAGAAGGATTTGAGGGATGGAAGGGACGCTGAGAAGGAATGAATTGAGGAATTGATCGAAAAGCTACATTTTTTTTGCCTTCGAAGCTTCGCCGCGCTTCGGCTTTTCTGCCCGTCGGGGTGTGTTCACCGCCCGGGGAGTTCATCTAATACTCTGTTTGTAATTGGTATGATCAATACGGAAGTAAGATACATGTCTGGATACGGCGTGGTATTTGTCTGTCCATACAAACGGGTATCGATAACAGGCAATGTACCCAGGAAGTACCAGGAAGTACCAGCCAGTAATCTCCAAAGTACCCGCGGAGTATAGCTGAGATAGTGCGACTCGACACATGAGAGAGATCTTCTTGGATGTGAGATATGAGAATAAAAATGATTCGGTCTCTGTTACTCCCTATAATTCTTTCTTACACATATCAATGTCCAAGATATCCAACTAAATAGCTATTTATCATACTCTGTACCATGCCTACTGCTGTACTCCGAATCCGGGGTCGGAGGTGCAATTGATTGGCCCCGCCGTGCCGCCAATCGATAAAAAAAGTCAAAAAAAATTCCCAGCGACAAAGTTGAGTTTGGTTTTCTTGTTTGCTCCCATTGCTTCTTTCGCTCCTCATTCTCGCTCTTCTAGCTCTGTGTGCAGTTTGGTCTCGAGGTAAGTAAAGAATTGTTTTACTCTTTGCATGGAACCCTCCACAATTGGACTTGTTCTGGGGCATTTGACCGAAAGAAACCATGAGTCAAAGTATCCCAATGGGGGGTTTCACTTGCCCCTCCATCCACTCCATCTTCTCCTCCACACTCTCTCTTCCTTTCCCTCTCTTTCCTTCTCTCCTCTCACCACCCTCTAACCGCACATTTGTGCTTCTTCTCTGACCTTATTCTTGTCAATCAGGTCCTCAGAGAACCCTGCACCTTTCACCATGACTACGGAACGGTTGCGCGTTCTCATCGTCGGCAATGGCGGCCGTGAACATGCGCTGGCTTGGAAACTGACCCAGTCTCCCCGCGTCGACATTGTCTACGTCGCTCCCGGCAATGGAGGCACCGCTCAGGGTCCCGACAGCAAGATCCAGAGCGTCAACGTCAAGGGCAATGATTACCCCGGTCTCGTTGCTTTCGCCCAGCAGAACGGTGTCAACCTCGTTGTCCCCGGTCCTGAGGCTCCCCTCGTCGATGGCATCCAGGGCTACTTCCAGGCCGGTGAGTCCGTCCTTTGACATGGAACAATCGCAGTCCCATGTGTAACTGACCGTGAATCGCCCGAATCTAGTTGGCATCCGCTGCTTCGGTCCTTCCAAGGCCGCTGCCCGCATGGAGGGCTCCAAGACCTTCTCCAAGGACTTCATGAAGCGTCACAACATCCCCACCGCCGCCTACGAGAACTTCTACGAATATGAGCCTGCTCGCCAGTACCTCGACTCCGTCTCTCACCAGGTCGTCATCAAGGCCGATGGTCTGGCCGGTGGAAAGGGTGTCATCATCCCCACTACCAAGGAGGAGGCCCACCAGGCCCTCCGTGAAATGATGGTCGAGAACCAGTTCGGTGAGGCCGGTAGCGAGGTCGTCATCGAGGAGTACCTCGAGGGTGACGAGCTCAGTGTCCTGACCTTCAGTGATGGTTACACCATCCGCTCCCTTCCCGCCGCTCAGGACCACAAGCGTATCTTCGATGGCGACCAGGGCCCCAACACCGGTGGCATGGGTTGCTACGCCCCGACCCCCATCTCCTCCCCGGAGGTTCTCGCTCAGATTGACCGCTCCATCATTCAGCCCTCCGTGGATGGCATGCGCAGAGATGGTCCGTCTTTCCCTATATCCGTTTCAGTCTACTTTCCTTCGCTGACCACAATGACTTTATAGGATTCCCCTTCGTTGGTATCCTTTTCACCGGTCTCATGATGACCAAGAATGGCCCCAAGGTTCTCGAGTACAATGTCCGCGGTGGTGACCCCGAGACTCAGACTCTCCTCCCTCTGCTCACCGACGACACCGACTTGGCCGAGATCATGGTCGCCTGCACCGAGCACTGGCTCGACGGTGTCACTATCAATGTCAAGCCCGACTTCTCCACCACTGTTATCGCCGTGGCCGGTGGCTACCCCAACTCCTACGCCAAGGGCAAGAAGATCACCCTGGACCCTACCCCCGAAGGCACCTTGATCTTCCACGCTGGTACCAACCTCGTCGGTGACGAGCTCCAGACCGCTGGCGGCCGTGTCATTGCCTCCACGGCCACCGCATCCAGCCTCGAGGAGGCCGTCCGCAAGAGTTACGAGGGCGTCGCCACCATCCACTTCGAGGACATGTTCTACCGCAAGGATATCGCCCACCGGGCCTTCCGCCAGCGGGATGCTGCCGCTGCTCAGCAGGAGTCTCTCACCTACGCCGCCGCCGGTGTTTCCATCGATGCCGGCAATGACCTCGTCCAGAAGATTAAGAGCTCCGTCGCTCAGACCAAGCGCCCCGGTACCGACGCCGTCATCGGTGGCTTCGGTGGTCTCTTCTCTCTGGCCGCCGCCAACTCCGCCTACCACCCCGAATCCCCTACCCTCATCGGTGCCATTGACGGTGTCGGCACCAAGCTCAAGATTGCCCACGCTGCTGGCGTGCACAACACCGTTGGTATCGATTTGGTCGCCATGAACGTCAACGACCTGGTCGTCCAGGGTGCGGAGCCCCTCTTCTTCCTGGACTGCTACTCCTGCGGCAAGCTCGACGTCCCCACCGCCTCTGCCTTCGTTTCCGGTGTCGCTGAGGGCTGTGTCCAGGCTGGCTGCGCCCTGATCGGTGGTGAGACCGCAGAGATGCCCGGTCTCTTCATCGATGAGTCCTACGATGCCGTTGGTGCCGCCGTCGGTGCCATCAACACCACCGGCCCCAACGCCCGCACTATCCTGCCCGACACCACCGCCATGAAGGCTGGTGATGTCCTGCTGGCCCTGGCTTCGTCCGGTCCCCACTCGAACGGTTACTCTCTCGTCCGCAAGATCGTTGAGCGCTCGGGTCTGTCTTACCAGGACCCTGCTCCCTTCACCATGCCCTCGGCCACCGGTCCCCAGACCCTGGGCCAGGCCCTGCTCACCCCTACCCGCATCTACGTCAAGCCCCTCCTGAAGGCCCTGGCCACCTCTTCCGCCGCTATCAAGGGTCTTGCTCACATCACCGGTGGTGGTCTGCTTGACAACGTGCCCCGTATGCTGCCCGCCACTCTGGCCGCGCACATCAACGTCTCCACCTGGGAGCTGCCCCCTGTCTTCCGCTGGCTGAAGCAGAACGGTAACGTCACCGCCATGGAGATGTCCCGCGCCTTCAACTGCGGTGTGGGTATGATCCTGGCTGTGGAGAAGGGCTCCGAGGGTGCCATCACGGAACTCCTCCAGAAGGAGGGCCAGACGGTCTACCAGATCGGTGAGCTCCAGGTTAAGCAGGAAGGCGAGGAGGGTTGTGTCCTGACTGGTCTGGAGACCTGGGATGCGTAAATATGATAATTTTGAGACTTCAGATAAAGATAGTTATGTTATGATATGATGTCAAACTTAGATAAAATCACGGAGGGCGGCGGGTTGGGATGATGGGAGATGAAATCCATAGAAAAGCAGGAGGGATCCTCCCTCCCCTTTTATTTTTCCTTACTCTTTTGCATTATTTTGATATCATCAAGTTACGTTTTGAATGAATGAATACAAGATTTCCACTGTTCACATACTCCATTTGTTTACACTGTATAAGTAGATGTGCCTCACATACCAGGCACAGTACAAAGTTACCAACATGACAACCATCTTATGACCTGAAGAGATATCTCCCATCGTATCTATCAGCACTTGCATCTATCCTCGTTTAGGCTCTAATCAAAATAACAGAAACTCACACCCTAAAGGATCCTAGCCAGTACTACCATTATAGTAAGTAGTAACTATAGCGCTTTCCATCCAACAACTGCACTCCCAACTCCTACCGATTGAAGCAAACATACGCACTCGCTACAGAGTATTATACCTGAAACTAACAGTTCAAAATCATCTACTAGTAGTAAGTATTACTACACTATGATACAAGGATTGAATACGCATGTGTAGTGTGCAGGCGATACCTTGCCCGCAGGGTTGTATCATAGTCCGAACAACTTACTATATCCTAGGCAACATGGACCGACTACCCATCTGGCTTAGTAGCTTACTACTAGTTGGGCTGGGCTGAAACGGTCGCCAGATCGGACACCTCCAGTTTCATTCCCCGCGGTCTAGAAGGCCTGGCATGACATCATGGTCGAAGGTCTGGGTGGCCTCTCTTACCTGTGACAGGTTGACATTGTGTCCGGGGGGTGGCTGGATGAGATCTAGGCCATCCCATTACCTCTGGAGTTGTATACAGTAAGCATTACTGGGAGAAGTCCTACGGAGAGTCCAAGTTGAGGCCGTGAAAAGACACCAGGTCATAGATAGTCATACGAGCTCAATGGGCAGGCAGGAATCAAGAAAGGGAAAACAAAAGATAAAAAGCAGACCGGCTCATCCACAGAAGATCGACATTCGCAGCAGCATTTTTAAGCTATAACCAGCCCGAAGGCGAGAATGGCAAAGAAACGGGCCCAACAGGAGAGAACAGGAGCCAAACACGAGGTCGAACATTTGAAGGAAAAGAAGAGCTTCCCATGTACATTCCCTCGCCTACACCGCTTCTCGTGCCCTTCCGGTTTTCTTACTCGTTGCCGCCACAAAAGTGGCCTGCTGCCGTAGTGACACGCGTTTGCAAAAAAAATAAAACCTTCTCTATTCCACAGCTAAAATAAAAGTTCCTTTTTCAGGCGATCTTCCTCCTAGTGCGAGTCAGAGAGGCCCGCAAGTCACCAGTGTCTCCGGGCTTTTTAATACATGGGGGAATACGAGAGTACGAAACGGATCACGCGCAAGAGCTAGATAGAAACTCTATTAGCAAGATCTGAC